AATCCAACACCAATACTGAATTGTTGGTGAATTTTAATATTCAAGCTTTAACTTGTTACCAACAGAAGTCTCATTTTATTTTCTTACGTGATCTTTATGAACTTGTCTAACACCAAGACATTTCTTCCAAAAAGATCTAGTTTAGTTTTTGTTTTTGAGATTTCTATTCTAAATTCTGTTACTTCCAATCTATCCAACCTACTTGTTCAACAGAGCACATCGGTCTCACAAGTTCTTCTTCCAATGTTCGGTCTTATAATAAGCATTGAAGTTTGGTTGAAGCTTAGCCACCCTTCAAGCCTATGATTCAAAAGAAGCCTTTCAATGTTTCTTAACAAACATTTGATCGTATTCTCACGGGAAACCATACAAGCACTTCAAGTCTCTCTTAACTTTGAAGGAAGAGATTCGTGCTCGGGATCCTTAGCTTTATGTCACATTTGACATCACTCACATTCCATACACTTGTTTACTTTATTTCTTATCTGTCGGCACACTAATGCACGAAAATCTTTCTGATTTTCCAGAACTTTGGTTCGTGACAATTATAAGTGATTTTACTTTCGGTTCTAACAATTAAACAGTCTTATGGAAGTGATAAGGGACTATGTATCTTAAATGAGTAATGGATTGAAGAAGTTGAATGGATGCGATGTTTCAACGTGTCTATGGATAAGTTCAAAATTGGGCGCGTGAAGTTGAAACGACTCCTAAACCTTTGTCGTATGCTATGTATCTGGGGAAAACCAAGTTGTCAAATCCCGCTTTTCCAGGCGCTTTTTCAGAGATCATTTCATCATTACAGACGATTCTTTCTCTCTCATGGCAATTGTATATAAAGGGGTTCTCCTTCCACTGTACCATTTATCACACTCCACTTTACTCAGCCAAATCGACGCTTGTTAAACTGTTCATCTTCTTCACAAAGCTCTACAATGGCGGATTCTTCATCTCTTTAGGATCAAACATTGTCGTCATCTCTGCTTTCGATCAACCCAACCAGAATATGATCGTTCAGATGACTCCATTCTTGTATGATCATTACATGCTTCAAGTGGTAGAATGTCTAAAGTATTCCCCACATGTCATCGCTCTAACTCAAGTGGAATTTGTTCCCATGTCCCTCCTGTCTCAAGTTTACTCCACGGTAACTTACGATAAAGTCAAGGAGCGCATCTACTTTCAGATTCATTCTCACAAAGCTTTGATTTCAAAAAGACAATTTTGCTCTCTTATACGGCTTGCAGTCTATGCCTCCGTCATCTCACCGGACTTCATCACCACAACTCAACTCTTCTCGATGCTCTATGAGATGGGATACATAGAGGTCCTTACCTCCTTCACCAAGTTCAAAAAGTCTTGCCTTCCTCTACAATGGAATGAATTGCTCACCCTTCTTCACAAAGGATTGGCTGAACGTGTTGGTGGCTCTGATGGGTTAAACAAGTGCTTTATGAAGATCATGTACGACATCTACAATGGGATTAACTTGGACTACGGGTCTTTGATCTGGTCCCAACTGGTACAGAGTCTGTCCTCTTCGACCAGGCACTCTGAAATTTCATGTGGGTCGGTTTTGGACCATCGTTGCATAACGGATATAGCCTCCCTCAATGTACCAGTTATGAAGGATTCTCTACTTTCCTCTATTTCCTCCTTTCATACCAAGAAGATTATTGTCTTTGATCCAACCAAGTTTTTGCACATTGGCTCAATTCTAGAAACCATGTACCATTCTGTGTCTCAGGAAAGCAAACTCATATCTGATTATAAATTGCTTCCTCCCAAGAGTCCTCGTTAATTAAGTCTAGAGATGCAAGTTGCATTAGACAAGGTGGAGAAACCTGCAAAGCAAGGAAAGAAGGCAGTTGTCAAGAAAGAAGCAATTGAAGAGCCCTATTCGAAACCAACTAAGGCAAAGAAACGAAAAGCTGACAAGCGTTTTTCCTCTACACCCAAGAAAGTCCAGAAAATGGCTCGCTGAACAAGAACTCCTTCACCTTCACATTCCGAATAGAAACAAGAGCAGTCTGCAGGTGAAGAAGAGGAAGAGCAACATGAAGGTTCGCCCAGGGGAAATACAACTCCTCGGCCTCCAACTTCGGTGGAAGTTGTCAATGATTCTGCTCCAACACTTCCTTCATCTCCACCAAAACAACAGTTCAAGCTTCGGGTCCACCTCCACCTGTATCTCAACTTGCTTCAACAATTGCTTCACCACCACTTGTTACTTCTCCTCCTATCATCACTGCCTCAATACCAACTTCTATCCTCACCACATATCTTTTTGTCAACATCAACACATCTGATGTGAGGGTGAAGACTGAAGAACCCCCTAACGTCACAACCGAGCCAATTTCCCCAACTCTTTCTGCTGATTCTAATCCAGTTCTTGGAGGAGCTGAGTTTGAGTTTGATTCTACTTACTATAGCCCCTACCGAATCCCCAGTGAGGAAGATGAATCTACTCCTGCAACCTAGCAACAAATCGATAGTGTTCACGAAAAGCTTGATACACTGATAGATTCCACCAAAAAGTATAATGATGTTGTTCTCAAAGCATTCATGGATACAACCCTTCACAAATATACAAAATCCACTGATAAATGTATTGCGGTTGTGGATGATTCTACTTCCATGTGCAAAAGAGCCACCTCTGATGTTAAAGATCTTCTCCATGACTCCCAGATTTTCTTGAATCTTTCAAGGGTCATGCTGATTCAAATGCTACCAAGGTCACAGAGTCAATCGCTTCGCTTTCTCAATCCCTTCAAGCCGAACACACCAAGTTTGAGACTGTTCGTTCCAACATCTCTGCTGATAACAAGAACTTCTTGTCTTCCATTGACTCTTAGTTCAAAAAGCTCACAACTAATCTTCTCATATAAAAGCAACTCCGAGAGGATCTTGCCCAACAGACTACTATCAATGCGGTACAGAAAGCTGACCTGGCCAAAGCAGAGCGTGAAATTTCTTTGCTGAAAACCGAAAGAGCTGTGTTTCGCGGTTGTGCTGGTGATGTTCTGTCATAGCTACACAACGTGATTCAAGTCATGGCTAGGTAATAGGAACATCCAAGTGTTGAAACCACGGTTTAAGTCATGATTAGGTAATAGGGACATCCACGTAATCAACAAGAATTTTCTCCGTTCTTTATTTGGAGATTGAAAGATGATCATAGAGTTATGAATGGATAATTTTGGAAAATTGATGGAAATAACGAGGCTTGTGAGTGAAATTTTTGTTGTTGGGTTTGACGACACCAATAAAAACACACGGTGAGCCTAGAAGAGGATAAGAAAGAAGATACCAATAAAGGTAATCTTCAAAAAAGTAAATGAGATCAATAAACCAATAAAAAACACACATAGTAAATGAGATCATATAATATATATTAGTTTAAAGGTAATCTTCAAAAAAGTCAAAATATTTTGGTTTATTGGTAATAAATAATAAAAAGCCCTAAAATTTTGAATAATTAATGAAAAAGCCCCAAAATTTGGATTAATTAACGAAAAAAAACAAGATACCGGCTAAATCTATGAAACCGGTCACGAAGGGTTAATCCGAAGTTTTAACTGGTAATCTGTCCTTTTTTGTAAACAAAATTTAATTTTGGACTAAATCGTATACTGACCTAAAATATTTGGACTTTTTCGTAGATTTCCCTTAAAATATATCATATTCTATTCTATCTATAGAAAATTATAAATTTTAATTTTAATTTATCTTTATAATAATCCTAATATATATTATATTACTTTCAAAATTAAAATAAATAAATAAAATACCAATGGCAAGATGCCATATGAGAGTGTGCTTTAGACTAGTAGTGAACTTTGGCTGGCGAGATGATTTATCTCGCAAAAGGTTAAACGTATTCGTACATATTTACTTTAGAGTAAATTACACGAATGGTCCCTATTGTTCGGGATAATTTATATGTTTAGTTCCTAACTTATTTTTTTAACTCAGAAGGTCTTTATAGTTTGTTTTTGTTGCACGTTTGGTTCATATATTACCTAAAAAATCTATTTTATCATTGACTTTTTAATTTATTTAAATAAAATGGGGTAGGTAAGCAGCGTCGGTCCAATGTTTTTTCATGTCTCGGGTGAAACGACATAATAATGCCCCATTAATATTACTTTGATTCACTTCAAACCATTACAATACATATATTTTGAAAGAAATAATGTAACAAACCATTTTAATATACCCCGTATCTATACAAACTAAAAGATACAAACTTCTTTTAAATAAATAACATTTCTTAAACAAAAGTGACAACTATTTGTAATATTTGGCAACAAACTAAAACTATTTTACAATACTAAAAGTTGCCAAAACATCTTTTGGGGTCATCAGACATAGTAAATATGACTTTATCTTCGAAACTCACATCATTCTTCCATAACAAGTAGAGTAAACCAAATTTAATATGCAAGGAAACATTTGATAAAGTCGACATCTTTGTGAATTGATGCCCCAGCAATAAAATCTCCTCTTTACAAAGAAACCATAAACAACAAATCATAATTTATCTTATAACACCAAACAACAAATAATGAATCCCAATAGTTATGGTACAAAATATTAAAAGGTGTACACTACTTCTATCAAAGGATTCAACAAATTACTTATTGGAAAATAAACAAAAAGATGGTATGATTAAAATACTCAATTGTCAATTGACTTTGAAACTAAAATATGCTAAAAAATCAAAGATAAAAACACTAAATAATTGAAAACTAACAATGAAATATATTGTTAGTTTGTTACTAAGCTTCATAACCAAATTTTGATATTTCGAACTCCTAATCCTAAAGAAAGCTGTAAGCATAAAAATCAGACCTACAACCAAACTCTTCAATCAAAAGACATAAATATGATAGCAAAGCTACAAAATTGATAAGAAAAATAATTTCTCGGACACAAAAGTAAATATCGAATCCTAACTCACACAAATAAATCGTTTATTAACAGTTGACAAGATAAGTATGAGAACACCTGTTGGAGACCTGATACCAATTTCAAAAGAAGAATACGATTACGAGAAGAAAGTGATGGCAGTCGATTTAGAAAGGATGAGTCGACTTCTACATCAATCTTTTTCTAGATTGGATTGTAAAAGAGAAATCAGAAAATCATTATAAGAACTAGGGATTACCGATTTGGATTAAAAATGGCAGTCGCCTCCTCGATTCCATAATATTTGTTTTCTAGGCGTTGATTAGGATTGAGCCAATCACAAATTGTGATTACACTCTCAAGGCCGCTTCAACAAATTTGATTTTGCGCCTCATGCTCTTTGCATCCAGACTCCTCCGGTCGGCGCCATACAAGAAGAAAATTATGGGCCAAAAATTATACTAGTATTAATTAGTGGGTTAAATTTATGTCGTCGCATAGTTGCTGCCATGGGCCTTAGCCCATCCCGCCTAGGTATCAGGTCGAGTCTGTAGATAAGGTAAGGTAAGGTGAGGTGAAAGTACGATCAGGGGTGTGTTTATTTTAATAAATTAAAAAAATTAAAGGCAAAATAGTCGTTTTTAGGTAAGACAGTGACCAAGCGTGCAACAAAAATAAACTTTAGGAATCTTCCGAGTTAAAAAATAATGAAGAAATTCGGATAATAACCAAAAAGGTGGTTTGAAAAAAATAACCAAGGAAAAACACATTTCAGAAAATGACCAAATGATCCGCAGAGCGCCCTCTGCGGATCTATTAAGTCCTCTGCGAATGTTGCTACACCTCTGCGGAATTTTTTTTTTTTTTTAATTTTTTCATTTTTTTCATTTTTTTTGCATTAATTTTAGTTTATTAATATTATTATTTATAAATACACTAATACATTATGTGATTATTATGTAAAAATTTGACAAAAAAGTTTTTTTTTCGTTTTTTTGCATTAATTTTAGTTTATTAATATTTTTTTTGATACACTATTACAAACCAAATACATATAAATAATGTAATACAAACGGTGCATATAAGTAACCTAATTAAAATTATACAAATATTCCATGTTTTTATAGGTTACAAAACATACCTTAGAAAACATAAACATACAACCTTCATAATAAACATACTTTAAAATAAACTTCATTCATTCAAATCGAACCATAGAAACTTTAATCTGTTTTTGTATTCCGTCCATAGGTTATCTGTTGCGTGTGTCCCTAGGTTTACTGTCTCTTGCGTCCACTGGTTATCTTGCTCTTGTTGCTATTGGTACTCGGTGCAACCTTGCCATTGGTTTTGTGGCTCTTCCAGCGGTTGGTATTCGGTCTCTTGCGCCCATTGGTTATGTGGCTCCTGCTGCCATTGATGTTCGGTTTGTTGTGTCCATTGGTTGTCTGGATGCTGCTACTATTGATGTTCGGTCTGTTGTGTCTATTGGTTGTTTGGCAGCTGTTGCCATTGTTGTTCGATATGTTGTGTCCATTGGTTCTCTGGCTCCTAATGCCATTGGTTTTTGGTCGCTTGCGTCGGTTCCTCTTCTATCGCTTTTGTCCCACTCCCTGAAGCCCCGGTACGTTTTTTAGTTTACTTTGGTTCTTTGGAACGATTTCCTTACACGTCCTTGCATTATGAGTTGTGTTATGGCATCTAGTACATCTTCTTATTTTTGGTTCCTCACCTTGAGATGGAATATGATTGGTGTTTTTTGGTCTATCATATTGACGTATTTCCATCATAGGAGGGTTAACAACCATAAGGTCATCCAGAACCTCCCAATCACTAAGTTCTGAAAAAGGGTATACGGCCTGCTCGTACGTTCTTCGAGATGTTTCAATTTTATAAGCATTTATAGTCATATGCCCACAATGATCATTTTTCAAGTGCATTAAAACCATTATCACATGAACACATGGCAAACCAGTTAGTTGCCAATATATGCAAGAACAATTATTTTCCCTCAAATTCACTATGTCGCCGCTTTTGAAGTCATGCACTTGATATGTTGTATTGTCAACACCGGATACCAACCATCCTTGAATCCCCTCTTTATTGTTCTTAACCATATCTTCAGCCCACTTTGTAAGTATTGTTGTACTTTTTTCTGTTAAAACAAACATATATTATTATACATGACATTTATCATATCATTTAAAATTAAACATAATCATACATGCAACAATCCATCGTTTGTAAAACCATTTCTGCATAAGTGCACGAAAGAACTCAAGAAGTGGTAATATAGGCAACTTCCTTGCTTTACTTGATACAACATTCATGGACTCCGCATTATTTGAGGTCATATAATCATACCTCGTGGTAGGGCAATACGCTCAGGTCCATTTCTCAAGTGGAATTTGACTAAGATATGTTGCTACATCATTTCTTATATTATGAAGTCTCCCCCAAGAGAATTCAAACTCAATGGTTTTGTAAGCTCTTACCAGCTTCCAAAACAAAATTGTTGTTTTTTTGTTTTTTCCAAAGGTGTGGACTATGTTTCCTATTAGATGAAAACCACACAATCCATATTGAGCATTTGGAAATACATTTTGAATACTTACAGCAATTGCGGATGCTCTATCTGTGACCATTGTCAGACCTTCCACATCACCAATGCATTCATGTAGTTTTTCAAAAAGCCATGTCCAAGAATCCGTAGTCTCTTTTGGGCAAATTTCATACCCAATAGGCAAGATCTGATTGTTGCTATCCATTGCTACTGCATGCAAGATGGTGCCTTTGTACTTTCCCTTCAAATGAGCACCATCCATAATAATAACTTTTCTACAACACTCTCTAAAAGCACGTATCTGCAACAACAATATAAAAAACATTAATATATCAACAATATAATTTGTTTATAAACATTTAAGAAAATAACAAATATATTGCCGCGCATCCAATAGCGAAAAAGCAATACTCAAAACGATCATCCGAATCAGTTTTTATGTACGCCACAGTACCAGGATTATGTTTCTTAAGATTGTGAAAATAAATTGGAAGTTTGGAGAAACTTTCTTTGGGGGTCCCCATCATCAATCCCAAAGCAAATTCTCTAGCATGTCACACTTGTGAATAACTCATATTTATTTGTAGCAAATCATTCATATCTCTAATTATATCATTAGGCTTCCAAACTCTCAAACTTCATTGACCCATAATGTTATGTATTATGGTTCCCACAACTTCGTGATTTGCTTGCCTATGATTTGGGTATATAAGCAATGAAGAACATGTATGCTCGTCATTAAACGTCTTAATTTCAAACATTTTGTGTTCCTTTAATGACACATGCATATAAACGCCAATGACCGTTTTCTTGCATACAAACAACCTGGTACCAAGATTTTGAAGATTTTTGACCTTTATCTGAAACTTTTCTCTAACGACTTTGAATTTAACAACAAATGTTAGCTCTTTTTTGGTGTGATAGGTTTGATTGACAATTAATATCATTCGGACCTAAACTGTGAAATGGTACAGGTTCAAGAATAGGTTCTGGACAATCAGTAATAGAAGGAATACAATACCATGGATTAAAAGCAGTTTTTCGTTGTGTGTACTCATCATCCGACCACCTTTCATTTGATTTTTCCTCACATCTTCGATCATCAATTTTAGGAACTTCTCCAAACTCGAACAAATTTGCACGTTGTAATTCAGTCATGCCCACTTTTGGTTCTTTATCATTATCTGATACAAAAGTGTCATTATCAGTAACCGAAACTTTTTTTTCATATCCCACTAGCACTTCATTTCCTCTTCCCCTTGAACGGTTTCCATCACATTAGCTTTCTTTACGACCTCTATTAGTTTTCGTTGGATTAAACTAGTTGTTAATCACTGTTTCTTCATTACCTTCTTCACTTACCACCGTTAAACACAAATGCACCTTCTTCTTTGATTCAGACATTACATGTCTCAATTGAAATAAATCAGTTTCATCTCCAAGCTCCATGACATACCCTAACTCCGGGTGTTTAATAGACAAACATATATGACTATTTAACACGCCCGCCTTAATTCTAACAATTTGTAATAACATTTCATGGTCAATGTTAGGAGGAAGATTTAAACCATAGTTTTTCACATTATTTCTAACGTAAACCTCAACTCCATTAACTAACTGTCACGACCCTCCCGTACACAAAATAATAAAACTCATTTTACAAATCACTCTCCACAATATCAACGAAAAACAATTTTCTAGTGGTAATTGAAACTCACAAACTCACAAATAACCATTTCAATACGTCTATAACATCTATAACTGATTTGCAGAGGTGTACACAGATCCGCTGAGGTGTACATTGATCCTTAAAGGTATGCACTGACCCGCAGAGGTGTACACTGATCCACTGAGATGTGCACAGATCCGCAAAGCTGTACACTGATCCGCAGAGGTGTACACTGATCCTTAGAGATGTGCACTGAACCGCAAAGGTGTAATAAGATCCGTAGAGCTTTACACTGATCCTTAGAGGTGTGTACTGCTCCGCAAAGGTATACACTGATCCTTACATGGCTAAGTGATGTGTCAAAACAAATTAATATTAATAAACTATATGCATCGGTTTGTATTACATTATTTATATGTATTTGGTTTGTATTAGTGTATTTTAAGAAAAAATTAATATTAATAAACTAAAATTAACGCAAAAAAAAAAACCCAAAAAAAAAAAAAAAAAAAAACCCGAAAAAAAAAGCCGAAAAAAAATATTTTTTTGTCAATATTTTTACATAATAATCAAATAATGTATTAGTACATTTAAATAAAATCAATATTAATAAACTAAAATTAACGCAAAAAAATTAAAAAAACAACATTCCGCAAAGGTGTAGGAACATCTTCAGAGTACTTAATAGATCCGTAGAGGGCGCTCTGCGGATCTTTTGGTCATTTTCTGAAATGTGTTTTTTATTGGTTATTTTTTTCAAGCCATCTATTGTTTTTGTTATTACCCGAAGTTTCTCAAAAATAAGTTAGGCATCAAACGTACAAATTACATTAAATCATAAAGTTCAATGTAATTTACTCTTCTTTTTTACTTGAATAAATATCAGAAATCATAATTTCTTACCATCCTTTGAGTTAAATCCAATATTTTGGCTATTTCGTAAAACATATTAACCCGATATAAATATTGTTGTCATTTTCTTTTAATATAAATTGTTTAAAAAAAAAAAAAAAAAAAAAAAAAAAAACTTTACATTTTATTGTTTCATTCCGGCCCCAATCTTTATCAGCCATCCTTGTTACACCCTTGAAACATTTGGAGCCCAGGTTAATAAAAGGTGTATTTCGACATAAGGCATAACTTTAGAGGGCTATTCTTGGAAAACTGGAAAATAACACGAGGAATTAATGAAAGAATCTGGACACAAGTGCGTTTACACGTGAAAAAATGTCGAATAACGCGGTACGACTGGCGTCAAGTTCCAATGCAAATCTTCCTTTCTTTCTTTTCCTTTCCGGAAAAGATAAGGATAATGTTTTATCGAAAGTAACAAAATTAGGCATATGATTAAAATAGGTTTAGGGATTATTATTTTTTTAAGAAGAATAGGAAGAAAAGTAAGGTTTGACCTATTTTTTTGGTCCTTTGTCATTTAATCTACAATTCAGAACATTATCATTCTATTTTTATTTTACACTTTCACTCTGTTTTTATTTTATATCTCTATTTTATTTTGATCTTACTAGTATTTATTGGTACTCAAGCTTCTATTTTAGTTTTTAAACATTTTATAAACTTTTATACACCATGTGGGATCCACTAAATACTTGAGTTTCCAATTACTTTTAAATTCACTGATTTTTTTTTTCTTTCTAATGATTAGTCAGTGGTTAATGTAAAGTTTCGTGTAATTGAATTGCTTGTCCTTTATTATTCACATCCCCCGATATAGATCCAGAGTACAATTATTAAAAGAGATATACACCAAAAATAAAGGATTGGTTAAAAATAGATCATATTATTCCATTTAGATATTCTATTTGATTTCTAAGAATTTTTTATTAGTTGAATTTTCATTGTTTTTCCAAAAAGTATATTATAAATAGTTTAAGATTTTTTGACTTTTAACAAAAATGTTTATAAGGTGTCTAAGGAGTATCATTTTAGCAACACCCCAAAAGTAATTATGCTAAGCTAATACACATATACAATAATAACGGTGTGCGTTAATATTCCCCTACAAGTTTGAGCTATAGTCGGTCAAATGCTTAGAATGTTTTTGAATTTGGTGAATAGTTGACCCGGAAAGCCTTTAGTGAATATGTATGTATATTGATAAATCAACAGGAACATGTAGAACTTTGACAGACCCAACTCGATATTTTTCTCTAACAAAATGGATGTCGATATCAAAATGTTTTGTTCGTTCGTGTTGAACTGGATTTTTAGATAGATAAAACGGAAATGTTGTCACAATAAATGATGGTGACTTATGTGATACGTACCAAAAGTTCAAGTAGAAGATTACGCAACCAACTTGTTTCCGCAACAGTATTTGCAACACCTTTGTATTCTACTTCTGCACTAGAGAGTGAGATGGTTGGCGTTTTGATGACCATGAAACTAAATTTTCACAAAGAAAAACACAAAAAGCATAGGCGAAATGACACATGTTTGGGAATCCCCCCAATTAGCATCAGAGTAGGCATTGATCTTGATAGATTTTGATGAATTAATGTGCAGGCCATCAGAGATAGTTTCTTTGATGTACCTTATGATTCGTTTTAGGAACTAGAAGTGAGGATTACAAGGCGCATGCATGAAGAAGCACACTTATTGGACAACATAAGGGATATTGGGTCGTGTAAAAGTAAGGTATTGAAGGGCACCAGCTAGGATTTGGTAAAGTGTGTCGTCGGTTAATGGTTTCCCGATAATGGTGTTGAGTTTAGATGTTGTGTCAACGGGACTGGTGGAAGGTTTTCAATTTGACATATTTGCTTTGGCTGTGATCACTGTATCATGCATTTCTGGAGATAGGAATTGAACACCATTTTGTCTTTGAACCGAAACGCCAAGAAAATGGTGAAGTTTTCGAAGGTCTATCATTGCAAATTCCCTGGAAAGAGATTTTATGATGTCGCGTAGGAGATGTTCATCAGAGGCTGTGAGGATTATATCGTCTACATACAGAAGTAGATAGGCCATTTTATTACCCTTTTTTAAGATGAATAATGATAAGCCGCATATGCTACTTTGAAAAATGCATGACTGAATGTATGTGGCAAAGCGTTGATACCATGCCATGGGTGCTTCTTTGAGGCCGTATAGAGATTTCTTTAGGCGGAAAACATGTCTGGGATGTTGTATGTTGGTGAAGCCAAGTGGGTGGAACAAATAAACAATTTCACGAAGATCACCATGTAGAAACATATTGTTAACATCCAATTGATGAATATATCAAGCTCAGGAGACTGCTAAACTTAGGATTGTGTGTACGGTTGTTAGTTTTACCACTGGACTAAATTTGCTTCGCAATCGATACCCACTTGTTGACTTTTTCTGTTGACAAGTAGGTGGGCTTTGTATTGTTGAAGGATGCCATCTACTTTAAATTTGTGACAAAATAGCCACATGCAACGAATTATATGAGCATTTAGGGGGGGGGGGGGGGAATTCCTATTTTTTGTTAGCCATTAGTGCTTTATATTCTTCAGCCATAGCGGCATGCTAATTTGGATCATTACAGACATAAATGTGTGATGTGAGGAGGGGGAGATGGTACGAATGAATGAAGTGTGAAATTTGAAGGGAGTTTTGGATTTGTGAATACTCTGGCGAGAGCGAGTAGCCATATAGTGAATGGGTTGTGGTGGTAGAGGTAGTGAGTTTGGTGGAGATGGGGAAGCATTAGGGGGATGAGGGGAGGAGGAGATAGGGTTGGTGAAGTATGAAGTGATAGAGGTGGAGATGTATTAGTTGAATTGGACGAAGATGGATTTAGTGTGCATAGGGTATTATAATGTGTTGGGTTTTCAAATATGAGTGGGGAAGGATCAGAGTAAAGGAAGGAGTAGTCATGATGAATGGTGGTTGTGAGGTCCTGGTATGGAAATTTAGTCTCGTCGAAAGTGACGTGACAGGACAAAATGGTTTTACCGGTGGAGATGTCAAGGCAACGATAGCCTCTATAATTAGCGGGGCAACCAAGAAAGATGCAAAGTGTGGATCGTTGGGCTAATTTGTGTAAGAGAGTTCAATTTTGGTTTAGGAAGCAAGCACAATCAAACAATCGAAGGTGTTCATAAGAAGGTGAGCGATTGTAAAGAGCATTGGTGGGAGGGTAAAAGTTTAGGAGTTTGATGGGTAGGATGTTGTGAAGGTAAGTGGTGGTTTGTAAAGCTTCTACCCAAAAGGAGGGGAGAGAAGCATGAGTGATAGAATGATTTCATTGAGTCTGCAAATCATGCGCTCAACTTTCCCATTTAGCTATGAAGTTTGTGGTCAGGAGAAACGGAACTGGAGGCCGTGGGTGGAGGCAAAAGATTTAAATTGATGATTGTCAATTTCACCACCCATGTCACATTGAAAAGATTTTATGGAAGTTTGGAATTGGGTTTGTATGAATTTGTGAAACTGGGTGAATTTTGTAGAAGGTTTCAAATTTATATTTAAGGGGAAAACCATGTATAGTAAGATCATCAATTAAAACCATATAGTATTCGTACCCAGTACGACTAAATACGGGAGACGTCCATACGTCACTATAAATAATACACAGAGTTGGATGTAGCTGCATAAAGGGTAATTCTTTATGTTTTTAAAGTTAAAAATAATTACAAACTAAAGAGCGGTTTCGCTTATTACATGAAATAATAGAATGCGAAAATAAAATATCCATGACTAGAAGTCCCGTGTGACTGAGCCTGTCATGGAAAAAATCGGTGGGTGATGAAGTTGTGAGTGCTGATGTGGATGATTCGGTGGTAGAGTTGGTAAGCGGATAAATGTTGTTGGTGCTATTCAGTCGAGTCACGAGCTTCCCACTCGGAAAATCCTTCACATGAAATCCAAAAGGGACAAACTCAACAGATACCCAATTATCATTAATAATTTGATGAACAAATATTTATTTTTTTAATGATATGAGGGGTATAGAAGGCATTCTTAAGGTGAAGGTTTTTTGTAGTAGATGGGAGAGTGGCATGAACCGATCCAAGAAATGGCATACGATTTCCATTACCAATGAATATTGAGTTAATGGGACAAAACTTAGAGAAGTTTGTGAGCTTACCCTGTTTAGCAGTGATGTGCGAAGAAGAACCTGTGTCCATGTACCATCAAGCTTTATTAGGGTCCATCGTCATGGCGTGAAGCCCTTCACCAATATAAGTGGGCTCCAAAGCATTGTAATCAGTGAGATGTGTCGGGTGGTTTTATTTGTCGCTCCATTATGATGATGATGTTGTAGTTGATTTCGTCCCGGTTGTTGCTGTTGTGGTGGACAAGAATGAGCGGTCCAAGGAGTTGTCCAACCGCGTTAGTTGGATATAGACAAGGTGGGGGAATCATCCACTAGGGAGCCAAGGTGGCATATTGTAACACCCCCCTCTGGCACGTATCACAATATTGTCCGCTTTGGGCCACTCGGCACGAGGACTTCCCAGGGGGTCACCCATCCCGGTACTACTCCCGCCCGAGCACGCTTAACTGCAGAGTTCTTATGGGATCTGCTGCCCTCACGGCTTTAAAATGCGTTGTGTTAGGGAGGGTATCCACACCCCTTATAAGGAATGCTTAGTTCTCCTTCCCAACCGATGTAGGATCAGGTGTAACCCACCTTCACCTCCCATTATAGGGTTCGACGTCCCTGTCGAACACATCGACCCGTGCCCTAGCTCTTATACCATTTGTAACACCCCCCTCTGGCACGTATCACAATATTGTCCGCTTTGCGCCACTCGGCACGAGGACTTCCCAGGGGGTCACCCATCCCGGTACTACTCCCGCCCGAGCACGCTTAACTGCAGAGTTCTTATGGGATCTGCTGCCCTCACGGCTTTAAAACGCGTTGTGATAGGGAAGGTATCCACACCCCTTATAAGGAATGCTTAGTTCTCCTTCCCAGCCGATGTGGGATCAGGTGCAACCCACCTAAAAGCCGTGAGGGCAGCAGATCCCATAAGAACTCTGCAGTTAAGCGTGCTTGGGCGGGAGTAGTACCAGGATGGGTGACCCCCTGGGAAGTCCTCGTGCCGAGTGGCCCAAAGCGGACAATATTGTGATACGTGCCAGAGGGGGATGTTACAAATGGTATCAGAGCCAGGGCACGGGTCGATGTGTTCGACAGGGACGTCGAACCCTATAATGGGGGGTGAAGGTGGGTTGCACCTGATCCTACATCGGCTTGGAAGGAGAACGAAACATTTCCTTATAAAGGGGTGTGGATACCTTCCTTGTCACAACGCGTTTTAAAGCCGTGAGGGCAGCAGATCCCATAAGAACTCTGCAGTTAAGTGTGCTCGGGCGGGAGTAGTACCGGGATGGGTGACCCCCTGGGAAG